AAAGCTACACAATGGGCTATCTGTGCTCTGCCCACCACGGGTATCGAAACCCGGTTTCTAGCATTGTAAGTCCGCAGACATACCGCTGTGCCACTGGGGGGGGCTTAAAATAAAGAAGTACTGTATTTATATTTTTTTTTATTTGGATGTTAAAAGTAACACAGTTATTGTATAAGTTTATAAGTGTATACAATGCACTGCTACATAAATGAGGAGATGAGTGGCACTTTTTTTGCAAATAGAAAAATACTTCTAAATACGTTACTGCTACTTTTAGAAAATTTAGGAAAGTATCTTAAAACTCAACTGAAAGCTCTTGGAAATTATCAAACGCATGCATATTAAACAGCCATAGCCGGAATATAAACATATAATATACTGAAACTCGTAAAAGTTTCATTGTTTTGTTGAAAGTAATAATAATTCTAAAAAGAGAATTTTAACTCACCTGGTCCAATGGCAAAGAAGACAACAAAACTAAGTGTACTGACAACACTTACATAGGTAACCCACTCATAAAGAAACTAGAAGGAAAAAGAAGAGAAAAATGGATAAATAGTTTTTAAGTTGTAAGTTGATGACGTGACTTTAAAAAGTTTTTTAAGAGTTATTTATCTGTATAAGTTCATCATAACCGATGACAAGTTTTAGAAGTCAAGTAATCTTTTTAAATTATGATATCTGATTTATCATAGCCTTTTAAAGAGTAATAAATAAACTTGGTACAGATTTATAATTATTATAATCACAGTAATCACTTAGATCTATCTCACACAATGGGAAAATCCTGCAATATGTCAGTAACAACAATTGTAACAACACAAGATCAGCACATGCTTTGTATACAATTTTTATATGAATTTTAAAATGATATACAGTAAAACATACAACTGTATTAAACCATCATTATCTTTCAAGCACAAAATCAGAGCTTGCTGAGGAACATAACTGTAACTAGATCATTTCCTCAAGCAGTTTTTACCAAGATTCTGTTTGGAACTCCTGGATAAATGAACAGGTGATGCAGTAACTGTTACATAGCATAGATGGTTTAGCACTTGATATTGTGGAACACTTGGAACTTGATCATATCTATAGCTGGTATGCCATTGTGTTATGCATGTGTCATAATTTTGACCCACTATAAAATACAGCCATCTGCTGGGAAAAATCATTTTAATCATAGTAAAGCATATCCCATCATGGCAGCATACAATCAAGAAGACATTTTTGTCAAAGAGTTTGAGGAGAAACCTCTTAGCAAGTCCATGCAACACCACTTGTGTGGTAAAAATGAAGTCTCTAACAGAAGCAGCAAAAATACAAAGTGGTAGCCTCATGTAAGTTTCCAAAGAGAGGAAAGCCTAGAGTGGTCAGTGATGTAACTCTTCCAGAGATGCAGCCACAAAATTGTCAATGTCACATGCAACAGGTGGCAAAATCCATGTGTACATCAGACAGTAACTCCATTCAAACTGAACCATTGCCAGAGATATCTTAATTCTCCCTGCTTCACCTTGCTAATGATGCAAATGGCTAGTCATCCAAAGGAAAATGCTTATTTTGGACAGTTTGGTCAGTGGTGATGTAGTTGTTCTTTCCCTGTCCCCTTGCAGAGCCCAGACTCCTACCAAGTAGAACAAATAGTAGACAATAAGCCCACAGATGATGACAGGCTGTCAGTGCCATTTGGTATGCTAGTTTAAGCCAGTGAGTCCTAGGTTTGATCTGGCCACTGAACTGTGAGAAAATGGCTATCTGTCTATTCCAACAATTGTGCTGGTTAGTTCAGCATTTATGGGACAGATCTTGGCTTATAATGTGCCTGTGAAAGTAAACTGGCACAAAGATAAATACATCAGTTGACAGAGGAGCTCCAATAATTTATTTGATTTTGTAGTTCAAAAACTGAGCATGATGCTTCAATTTTTTTAGACAAGAAGCAGGTTTTGAAACTGAAGTCACAGAAATATTCTCTCATACAAATTAATGAGAAATTTCTTGGGTTTATAATGCACAGTGGCAGACTGTCTACAGATCCTGCTATGATAGAAGACTGGCCGGAACCTACAAATAAGAAAGAAGTCTAAAGCTTTCTCAACTTTTGAATCATGTCGTTTTTACCCTCTCAAAATTTTTCTAGTATGTTGAATGTTTATTTTATTTTGTGTTGGTAATGTTAAGCATCTATGCCCATAGACGGTAGTATGGTTGGTAAGTGTAAGACTGAATCAGCAGCTGACAGTGAAGCTCTGTTTCGTTGCTATGGTCTCCCACTGAGCTCAAATCTCTTACTAACTAACATTGATGTTTGTGTCTTGTATAGCTACACTTAGGTCTGATAAACATACATAAAATCACCATGTGAGAAATGTCGGAATGAATGAAGCAAGAGAAGGAAAGGTTACCTGTGTAGTGAGAAAGTCATGGTTTAACTGCATAACATAAAGCCACCACAGAAAAGCCAACTTCAGTTGTTGCACAGTTGTGTTGGTGAAAGATGGAACAAAGTTAAAATGTAATATTTTTGATACGTTTGGAAATTTAAGAATATTTTTAAACATTCTCTGGCTTTCTCTTCTTGTTAAATATATAGACCTGAGAGCAATAAAACGGGGATTAAATCCTGGTCCCTGAAAGCCTTCTGGAGTCAGGAGAGTGGTTGGCAACTTATAAGGTCACAGACACACCAGGAAATAATAGAGGTCAACACAAGTTTCTTAAGTACTGCAGCAGCAAGATGTAACAAAACTTGTGACAATGGGTTAAAGATGTTGAGTTTTAGTATAGTGCTCAGGAAAATATCTTCAAGTGTACCGGAGAACAGTAGTGTAGCTATTGTCTACACTTTCATTGTTGTCTTTTGCCCATTTTTCACATTGAGTCTGATCACTTGCATTTACTCGTAGCAAATCACTACACTTATCTTTCCATGAGCCTCATCTTGATGGAGTGATCAGGTGACTGTGTGTGTGTGTGCGTGCTTTATCTCTTTCAGGTCTTGGAAGTTTGAACATGTAAGAAGAAAGGCATAGCAAACACAAACAACAGTATGGTTTTAAAAGTCATTAAATTATGCCACACAAAGCAGAATTTACTATAACCGGAGCACTTTCGAAAGGTGGACCTTTCTTCTTCAGGGGCAAACTGGGAATAAATGGATGCAATTTATGAAGTTAAAATTGCATATGCAACTTACATAAATGCTATCGTATCTTCCCCGAACACAATAAGGAATGATAATTGAGTACTCATGACTTATACTTAAATTAATTCCACAGTCTTACAACTCCCATGTTGTTCTTGGAAGTTCTTGCTCCATTGATTAACACCTAGTAGCCAGATACTGCAGGTTCAATTGTGACAAACTTCTGTAACGAATGACTAGTGAGACCACAAATATAGTCAAATTTTTTAACAGATCCTCCATTGTAAGTGAGAAGTCAGTTTCCAAGCTCAGACAAATGGTACAAAAGTGTAGTAGAGCAGCACTGGAGAATCAGCAGGTATGTAGTTGTGATTCCAGTTGCTTCGGTTAGCTTTCTCGCAAAACTAGCAACTCATTTCAGGATGTAGCCGGACACATGTGAACCTTTGTAAACTCCAAATCTCTTGTTTGAAATACTAGAAGATATGTCCAGCTTCATTACAGTTTTTTGTGGGTCAAGGGTTTTCTTTGAAAACCATAGCTTCCATTATGTGACTGAAGGCATTATTGAAGATAGTGTTGGAGTGTAGTTTAGAAGCCCATTGTTATTCTAACTGTTTGACTATGTGAGTTTTTTTTCACTTTCACTGTGAACATTGATGACTTTACTTTCTGAAATATGTTTTTTTTCCTCTACATCATTTACTAATTTTACTATAGGAATATTCTTTTTTAAGAAAGGCTGAAACATATTCTACCAGTCATAACACTACACTGTTAAATGGTGAGGATTTTGTAGCAACACTACACTGTTAAATGGTGAGGGTTTTGTAGCGACACTATACTGTTGAATGGTGAGGAATTTGTAGCAACACTACACTATTAAATGGTGAGGGTTTTGTAGCGACACTACACTGTTAAATGGTGAGGGTTTTGCAGTGACGCTACACTGTTAAATGGTGAAGGTTTTGTAGCAACACTACACTGTTAAATGGATGGGTTTTGTAGTGACACTACACTGTTAAATGGTGAGGGTTTTGTAGTGACACTATACTGTTGAATGGTGAGGAATTTGTAGCAACACTACACTATTAAATGGTGAGGGTTTTGTAGCGACACTACACTGTTAAATGGTGAGGGTTTTGTAGCGACACTACACTGTTAAATGATGAGGGTTTTGTAGCGACACTATACTGTTAAATGGTGAGGAATTTGTAGCAACACTACACTGTTAAATGGTGAAGGTTTTGTAGGTGTTGATGCTGTGGTGTACATTTACAGATGTGAGCACCTGAAATATATATTCATCTGGTCCACAGCAAAACCCTCATCATTTAACAGTGTAGTGTCGCTACAAAACTCTCACCATTTAACAGTGTAGTGTCGCTACAAAACCCTCACCATTTAACAGTGTAGTGTTGCTACAAAACCTTCACCATTTAACAGTGTAGTGTCGAAACAAATCACTGAAATAAGGTGCATTTATCCCTCTGTACACCACATATCATATTGTATTTTACATTACTATTTACAGATACATTCTATTAACCCAAAATTTGGTACATGAGATATATTCACCAATGCTGAGCTCTGGTATTAAAAAAAAAGAGCTTTGCACACAAATTCACAACAAAATCTTAACAAAATCACAATATTATTAATCATGTTACTGTTATGTTCTACATGTTTATCTAAGCAAATAAAAATAATGAATTATCCAAAATTACATTTTTACCAAAACAACAACATTTGGTTTATGTTCAAAATAAACTTGATAACTTTTTTTCTTCTTGATAAATATGTTTCTTACCCTAACAAGTAATGAGATGGTGATGAAAATACTAAAAATAAACATGCCCCCTAGACCATAGAGATGTAATGTCCGTCTCCCTGCCCTGTCCATCAAAGGGATAGACACAAGTGTCATGATGACCATTACAACTCCAACTCCAATGGTGACAAACTTTGATGTTGTTTCTGAAAGCCCTGCTTCAGTGAAGAGGTTGGTGGAATAGTACAACACCTAGTGAAAGATAAGTCTTTTATCAAACAAACTGCCTTGATACCATTATTCTTAACTGTTGTTCTCAGCTAGTCATTATCATGTAAACAAATATGTTTCATATCACATCTTATACGACAACACAGAAAAAAAAAATCTGAGTACAATACCTTATCATAAAATTAGTGAACCTTAAACAGCCTTTTGCTATGAAATGTATATTAATAAAGAAAACATCATGTCATTATCCATACCTTTAACTTTACCCCCTCAATGAAATTCTTTATGACCAACATAGTTAGACAGTTGAGAGATCATACAACTAGAAACTTCAGTTCTTAACTGTTTGTTTGTATAGAACGTCTTTTTCAAAGTAAGCAAATATTGTTTCTCGCCACAGTTTGCTAACAGCTTATAATTATAAAAATGAAACTTTAATAATACTTTTTACTTTAATGCTTGGACTACTTCTTTTTAAACACACATAAATTGAGAAAGGTGAAAAATTTTCTCAGTCACATGTATTATACCGATCCAAGTGTACCCATTTTTTTTAAATAAGTTTATAAAGATTTAGCTTAACTTTCGGCATATTGATCTATTTTGATTTACCTATGAATATTTGAAGTTCCTATCAATAAGAGAAGTTTGGAGTTAAAATGTCATGGTGGAAATAGAACTGCTGTATATCCTGAATTCTTAGTCTTTAGATATTATTTGTGTTTTGTGTGGGCTTTCCTGCACGACCTTTCATTCTTCTCTAAAGTATGTGTGTTACTTGTAACTTGTGGTTGGCCTTAAAAGTTTCATCCGTATCATATTAACATACTACATATAAATTTGCCTAAGTATACCACTTTGAATATTTTTTTAAAATCAATTTTCTGAACTCCCTTCACTCAACAGTTCTTCCTTACCCTTGCCATGCCACTTTTAAACAAAGTTAATCACTTATGTGAGAATTGTTTCACATTTCATGTAAGACTTAATATTTTTTTTACTTTATACAATAGCTTATATTAATAGATTTTTCCTTTAAGAACTGGACTGCAAGCAAGTATTATTTCAAATAATATTTAACTAACAACAATTTTCAGTTATTGATATGGAAAGTTTAAAATATACCAACACAAGAGGCTTAGGATTTCCATTAATCTGTAGCTTCCTAACAGCATTATAGCCTTCTGTAATACTGACGTTAATAAATAGCTTAAATAATACATTTTAGTTGTACGTTTTCAATAATGTAATTTCCATAAATCTTAATATTCAAACCAAGATAATTATTCACAACACCTAGGAAATATTTAAATGTAGGCTAAATATCAACTAATACAATGCCCAATCTTTTCTATTTGTCTTAGCCATTACTGTCATTTTTTGAAACTAGCTAGCTGTGATTTGTCCAAAAGAAAACTGAATATATGTCAAATAAATCAGTACTCTGCAGCCCTAAAACTTACAACTAAACACTCAGCTACGCTATCATCAAAGTTGAATACATACTGCGTTGATGCCCGAGAGTTGCTGTGACAACTGCATGATGACACCAATTAACAACGGAAGTTGAAGTGACTTGTTTCTGATCAACTGCCACATGGTTATCTGTGGAATATACATTTTCACAAATAAATGCCATACAGAGACAAATTATTACAGTATAGTACATAAACATATACATCTATAGAAAGTGGCAATAGAATAACATGGGTGTTCAGTTTCATCGTGACAAGGTTTGTTTATTTGTTTGTTTATGTGATTTCTTGCAAAGCTACACAAGACCCATCTGTACTAGCTAGCTGTACCCAATTTTGAAATAATATACTAGAGGGGCAGGCAGCCATTAAGCATCATGCACCACAAACTCTTAGGCTATGCTTTTCAGTCCAAATAACAGAATTTGATGGTCACCCTTATCACACAACTCCAAAATGCAGAGTTCAATTTTTTTTTTCAGTAACAGGACTCTAACAATGGAACCTTAACTTCACAGCCAGGAATGCTCAGCCCAAACAAACATGATTATAAGCATTCAATGATGGCATGAAATTTGACATAAGTTAGTCTTTTAACAACAAAAAGAGGCTATCGAAACCTTTTCATCCACTTCTTCTTCTTGTGATATCCAGGTACAACTAATCATTCAGAAAAATCTGTAAAAATTTGAGGTTAAGTTGCAGATAAACTGATATAAAAACCAGCTTCTTTCATCTCTACTGTCTTATCTACTTTGTTAAACTAATTATTATTTATTTGATAGCAAATTGATGGTACACCTACTTGGTATTTCTAAAATTTATCTTAACGCATTCTCTTAAAACTCAGCCTTGTTATCATCAATGATTAATACATGTCATCACTTGACATTGGTCTCCAGGGTCTGTGCCCCAGACGCATTTCATCGAGACCTGAATCTATTTTACCTAAACTAGATTATATATTACATTGCCATTATTGTTTTAGTTAATTTGAGTAGATACAGCTTTTTACAGCCCAAACCCCAATTCTTTCTGTTTGATATCTACAATCCTGCAGGCTGTATTGATGCACATCTGTCTTACATCTATAACCTTGTCGACTGTATTGTCGTACGTCTGTTTTGCAAGATAAGGTCCAATGTTGAAAGTCACAAATGATCTATTGCACCTCAATATGATAAGGAAATTAAACATTATACAAGTTTCTGTAGTAAATCCTTCCTTTTTCACATGCAAAAAACTGTAAAGTCTGATAAAAATGTTGCAATTGATTTACACTTGCATGAGTAAAAATCTGGATACCAAATTCTTTAATTACATCAAACTTACTTCTACTTCTTGTTGGTGAGCTCGCTCTTCTGCTTTCATTTCTTCAATATCATCTTCTACTTGACTTGAGCTTCTTAACCTTTGTAAGGCTGTCATACAAAGATAATATATATATACCAATAAATTCACAGATTCTTAACCTTTCTAAAGTAGCCATGTAAGTATGATACTGATAAGCTAACAATTTAACTTTTATAAGGCTAACATAGAATTAGTTTATTAGTTTTTTTCCTCTTTTTTATATTTTATACGTTGTTTTAGGCTTAGTCTATGAGTTTTTGTATTTCATGGTACCCTAATTTTTTTGGCCG